AAAAAAAAAAAAAAAAAAAAAAAAAAAAAAGGAAAGTAGATCTCTGATCCTTCATGGCTCCCTACACTTTGCCGAGAAAATAAGAAACCCCTGTATATTTTCTCTGTATATTTTCTCGAGAAAATATGTCGGACGCTTTGATCAATGGCCTGGCCGGAGCTGGCGGCGGAATCATCGCCCAGCTCATCACATATCCTCTTCAGACTGTATGAAATTTTCTAGTATTTCTTAATTGTTTCTCTTGAGCTTTTATTTTATTTTATTTTAGTTTAAATTTTGGGTCGTGATCTGTAGGTTAATACTCGTCAACAAACAGACCGTGGATTGAAGAAGGAAAAGAGCAAGCTCGGAACTATTGAACAAATGCTTAAGGTTTTCCCTTACTATAAAATATCAGCTTCGTTTTAAGTATATATAAATGTTTGCCGCGTTTGGTTGCTGAGAAAATGGACACATTTCTCTTTTTATTTCATTGTATTTTATTATTAGGCGTGTGCGGGTAATTGATGTGCAGGTTATAAAACATGAAGGATGGGAACGGTTGTACGGAGGTTTGGCGCCATCATTAGTGGGCACAGCAGCATCTCAGGTGAGCAAAGCTTAGCTTAGCTGTTTAGTTTCATTCTTATTGTTACTAATACTATGATTATGGAAGGAATGAGCAATTTATTTATGTGCTTCCGTAAAATTCAAATTCACTTTTGTTAGCTGAGAAACTAAAGAAAAACTGAAAATTTGGAATCTTACAGCTTTTAACAAAACAGGAACTAATTTAATTATCTTGTAAAGGAGTTTGGCCGTATATACAGATGTCTTTTATAATATCTTAGCAATACCTTGACTTGTATTCTACATTGGCCAAAACCCTGAAGGAAAAAATGACAGAGAGCGGTGGTTGCTGGGTTTTTTTCTGTTGGCATCCTTTTGCATTGATTTGATACAGTTATTCTCTTGATTAGTAACGGCTAGTGACTGCGATATTGATATCCCAAAATTACCTGCCCTCCATTGTTAGGCTGTCTGCATGAAGCAGGCATGGCTGGCTTTTGAGTTGTGTATCAGATCACCTAATCAAAATACTTTGTGTGTATTGGCCCAGTTATCTTCTATTTTGTTAGAATTTGTAATATGGATCCAGTCCATAAATCATGCACTTTCGTTACCTACATTGATCTGTACCAATGTACCATCAATGAAAAGTGAAACAAAGTATTTTGTTAATATATATGCAGCCCTTTGAATAAGAAGTGAAACAAGGATGCCAGCTGCAATGTGCTTACTCAATACTATCTACCTAAACTTAAATGCTCTTAATAGTGCCTTTTGAGCCAGAACTTCCATGGTGTTACATGATATAGGGCAGCTTACATCCTTTTAGGTCAGAACTATAAACCTGTATTGCATAAATCTGCATCATATTTGTTTTAATTGGTTGTCTGGTTTCTTATGTAATTGCTATTTTATTGGTACAGGGTGTTTACTATTATTTCTATCAAATATTCAGGAACAAGGCTGAAGCTGCTGCACTTGAACGTAGGAAGATAGGGGTTGGTGATGGATCTGTTGGAATGCTATCTTCACTAGTGGTTGCTGCGCTATCTGGGTATTTTCTTATGCATGTGATTATGGCCTTAAGACATTAATTGTTTCATAATATATTTAAAGCTATAAATCATCATTTACTTAAATAGCTGCATTGGATTTTTCTGAAAACTCTTAATAAAATGCAAATATAGTTAACACAAAAGATTTCTCAGCGCTTATGGTAGTATATATTTTTTTCATTATTAGTTCTCTTTCCTTGTTCATGTGATTTGCTGCTGAAAATCTCACCACAATTTTATTCTTGCAGTTGTGTGAATGTGCTGTTCACAAATCCTATATGGGTAGTTGTTACACGCATGCAGGTAA